GGAAAGGAAAAAAAAAGTAGCCGAGGGAAAGGGCTGGTGCCGGGGGAGCGGGGTTTCTGCGAGCGGTGTTAATGCAAAGCAGGGCCGGGGGAGAGGGACATGCGCCGGTCACTCCCCTCGCCCTGGGTGGTCCGGGCTCGCACAAACACCCTGGGCCCCTCTGCCGAGCAGCACCCAGCCCGCTTATAACAATACTACCTATATACATTTCCATACTCGGATTACACACGGCCTGCTTGCAAAGTTGACTTCACTTAAGCAATTAGCTAGTAAAAATACCTTCGGCGCAGGAAAAGGAAGAAAGCTCGGATTTGTCTATTTTTACACAAAACACGGCAGAGTTTCGTGGAGGGGGAGGGAAGTCGCGAAGGGGACGGGGTTTGGGAAGGATTCGTTCGGGAAGCGAAGTGGGACCGGGGGTGGGTGCCGGCAATAATCCATGAGGGTCCGGGCCGGCTGAACGGGCCCCCAAACGGTGCCGGGATTAAAAGGACTAATTGCTCCAGATGATCCTTTTTTTTTTTTCCTGCCCACTCTCCCCTGCCGAGGGTGGGGGGCGGGCCTGATTAAAGCAACAAAAACAACAGCAAACAACATTAAAAGCAAGTCACGTTCATCTGCGGGGCTGGCCCCAGCCTGGATCTTCAGCCCAGAAATCTTCCCATCCTCGTTTCCTCCAAAAGCAGGTTTTGAATCTGGAAGTATTTCTGAGACCTGCGCGGAGGTTTTTATAAGCGATAAAGTGTCACTAACAAGCCCTCTCCCGACGTGTTTTTCTCTCCTTTATTCCTCCAACCCTGGCAGGGTCCGGTCAGTCCTTGTACAAGATCCCTCTGTTACATCAGAGAAAACACGGCCCGGCTTTTCCTCCCCAAAGCTGTTAATTACCAAATTCACGGGCTCAGTTTACCATATAAAATTCTTTAACATTTCTGCTGTTTCCACGGCGAGGCCTATAAAACCCAGGACAATATATTTCCATTTTAATATTTCCTGGCTTTAAGAAATACGTCGTAAACCAAATCTTCACATTCCGAAAAGATACTGGGGAGGGGGCGTTTGTGTCGAGATTCTGTTTCAAGGGAAATCACTTCATTTCCACGGAGAGATTTTTTTGTTCGAGTTAACGATTTGCTGCCACGGAGACGGAGATATTTATTTCCTAGTGGAAATGCTGCCGGTGGTGACGGGTTTAAATGTGGGTTTTACACGAGCTCTCTCTGTCTCTTTTTTTTTTTCCAAGGCTGGAATTAGTTCCTTCCCCTTGAGTTTTTTTAGGGACATCGGGGGAAGTCACTCGCTAAGCGATATAAAGCAAAAAACCCGTGGCTTTCGAGGGCCGGGGCGAGGAGGAGCGTTAGCGCGGCGCTCCTGGACGAGCGGGGCGGCGAGCAGCGGCTTTCCCGGCGCCACTCGGCCCGGCGGAAGGTGATCGCTTCCAGAAGAAACGTTTTTTGGGGCGTTATTAC